GAGGTCCCCTTGGGCAAGCATCGTGCTGTGAGTCCGCCACATGCTTGTGTAGCAGGTGCGCCGCGCCCGAGCCCCATTTCAGCTGGCGTCTCCTCGCCCAAGCGCCCGGAGACATGCTGAGACACTGAGGGGCCAGTATCAGACGCCAGGCGAAGGCTGGCAAACCCGTGGCTGCTAAAACGGAGCTCCGGGAAACTGCTTCTACTTCTTCTTCTTCTTCTTCTTCTTCCGGGAGGCAGCCCTTAGCGCGCTGAATTGTATTCTGGGCACTTGTTTTAATCTTCCGGGGAAACCCTTTTGGCAGCCACGTCTTTGCCAGCCTTAGGTCGGGCATATCCCCCTACAGGCGGATCTTGAGCGAAAGAATTCTAAAAGCACACCAACACGACCAACAATAATCAAACATATCGTCCCCAGACCATTTGTTCCACGATTTTTGCAGATGCCTCCAGTAGAAAACATGCCCGACTTAATGCCGGCCCTCGCCCAGCTTCCGCCACTGTCCTCCGCCGCCGTGCCCGAGGCCATGGACGCCGCCGCGCCGCGGCAGACACGACAGAGGCCACGGCTCCGACGTCGACCGCACAAGGTCTGCCGCGACGCGGCCCGGCGGCGAGGCGGCCCGTCGCCGCCGAGGCGGCAGGGCGCTGCCAAACGTGGCAGCGTGGAGCGGCCCGGCGGCGCTGGATCGGTGGCAAGAATGCGAGGCGGGGTTTATCCAGATCCACCGCCTGGGGCGGAACGTCCTGGTGCCCCAGCGGGCCGTGGAGATGGACACGTTTTGGCCCCCGGGAGCCTGAACATGTCCATGTCTACCGCCTGCCGGGATCCCCGAAAATGGATCCTCCGGGCGGCGGTCATGTACAAATCCCGCCTCGGAGGGAAGAGCACTGAGCTTATGTACAGACCTGCTCTTCGCGGTGTGCAGACATTCTCCGCTCTCGAGAACATGGGTTTCTGCTATTGAGCGCACTGCGGGCCGAGCGTCCTGGTGCTGGGAAGCCCTGTAACACCACGCGCCTTCCATCCCGCCTGGACGACTGGAGCGCTGACTCCACAGAAAGGGGATGGCTGGGCGAGGAACTGCTGCGCCAGCGGCCAGGAGAAAAGCGAGGAGGCAGGAGGAGGAGTATGGAGACCACAATGGTGCGAGAACCCTGCAAGAGACCTCTCTGACCCCCCCAAAAAGCCCCAGGAGGGCCCGAAAATTACCCAAAAAGAGCCCCAAGAGGGCCCCAAGAGCACCCCAAGAGGACCCCAACAGGACCACAAGAGAGCCCCAAGATGGCTACAAGAGACCTCCTAGAACCTCTCACAACAACACCTCAACTCGCCTGGGCATCGGTGCTGGATGGGCTGGTGGGGATACTTTTTGGTCGCAGCCACCAGCGAGCGCGCAAGCGGCGAGAAAAGTTGTCCGGGCCGACGGGCAAACCTAATCAGCGACTGAGCGCAGCACGAGCCGGCTGGGCCAGCTCACGCACGCGGCAGCTGGGGCAGCGGCAGCGGGGGGCTGGCTGGCTGAACTGGAACGCCCAGGGAAGCTCAAGCAACGTGCAGCCCCGCGGCGAAATGCCAAGGAATTCTGTGTTACGCGCTGTGGCGGCCACGCGTGGTAAACAATGGGCCGTCGCACTGGTGGAGATATTTTTTTTGGTCGGCGGTTCCGAGGCAACGGACATGGAGCGGAAGCGGCGTCCAGGACACGGTACGGGGCTAATTTGCAAGACAACTGCCGCCAGAGTCGGCGGACAAAGCTCGCACCTGCAAGACAAACTCGCAGCTGCACGCGCACAGAACAACATGAACTAAATTCACAGGGCAATCGCACTTAGGCGCAGCAGCCCGAACCGAAGTGGGCAGGCCGCCAAGAAGAATGTGCGGATGCATCGAAGTGGCTCGCCAGGGCGGCGCCAGACTCCTTGCCGACCTGCACAAGCCGAACGGCTGTGCGGTTGTAACCGGAAGCAATGCGCGTCCGGGGGAAAACCAAAGGCTGTACAGGCGTTGTAGGCTGAACCACTCAGCGCCCAGCCCTGAGCAATCCGCCTCCCAGTGCCGAGGGGGGCCAGCGGCTGCCCAAGGCGCAACTGTGGTGCCGCACCCTGAAGCGAAGAGGTCCGCTGGCGTGGGCAACGCCGCCGTCGGGTGGTGATGGTCGGCACACTGGTGGTGGAGACGTCTGCGCGGCCTGCCACGGGGGTCCTGCTGCAGTGAAGCTGAGGTGGCCAGCCAACCCAGACTGTCGCATGGCGCTGCCCCTGAGCCCGAGCGCCGACACACACCAGGTGTCTCCCCACAGCCGTGGGAACTGCTGCTGGGGGGGCCAAGGAAGACCATGAGCAGCGCGTACCACGGTGCGAGCAGGGAGGCGGGGAACCACAGCCCAGCAAAGGCCGCGACGGGCGAGCCCCGAAGCCACGGGTGGGGGACACCCACCGAGCCAGGGAGGGGAGAGGCGAGGGGACGCAACGCCTCGCCCCAACGGTTGCCCCGATGGTTGCCCCAACGGTTGCCCCAACGGTTGTCCCGATGGTTCCCCCGATGGTTGCCCCGATTGTTGTCCCCATGGTGGCCCCGATGGCTGCCCCGATGGTTGCCTCGATGGTTGTCCCGATGGACAGATCGACGGATGGACAGACGGATGGATATTTATAGATAGATCAATATTTAAATATACAGGTAGTAATACACTTAGACATACATATAATAAAAATAAGTATGTCGATCGTTGTATATATATGATATGAAGATTGAGGCCTCGATATATAAGTTGTCAGTTTGGTAAGCTGATGCACATATATACATATACATATAGTGATACACATCGACATGGACATATGCATACAAACTTGAACATATAATTCGATATGTATACACATGTATTAGTTATTTATATGTTATTGACATGTTATTTATCTGTTATATATACATTTTAATCTATAAAATCATGTGGTATCGATAGGTATTTATCTGTACATATATATATATGTCGAACGTGGAATGTGAATGCATCGATGGGGTATGCATAAATACACTTGGGTGGAACAGTTATATATAGTTGATTGAATGAGAACATATGTTGGGAAACATATCGTCAAGTAGATAGTTGTATGTATATATACATAGAGAGATAGCTAGATAGAGTAGGTTATCAGACATATATTAGTATAGTTCGAAAGACGCATGGGCACATGTGCGCGACAATAGGGAAGGTGAAGCAACCAAAAGAAACCCAGAGCCATCGCAGATCAAACGCCTCCCCTTTCCCCCCCCCCCAATTTCCTTGTCACCCGAAGGGTGGTCTTATCGGTGTGTACTTATGTGTATATATATATCGATATTGATATTTAAGGGGCTCGCACTTACACATAAAACTTCCCTTGATGGCTTGGCACACACATCGCGCGCACGCAAGGGCAAGCAAGAACATGCGAGCATCCATGAATTGGCACATAGACACACAAAGCATAAAGATCACATCCAGCCTCCACAATCATCACCAGCACTAATTACGACCACCACGCCTCAACTACCCTTTGGACCACCACCACCACCGCATTTTGCGCCACCACTACGACACCACCACCACCACCACCTCCACCACCACCACCACCACCAATCACCGGCACCAGCCCAACTCCACCACCATATGTGTATCCTGGCATAAGCCAGCAGTGCTGGCTGGCCAGGGTGCTGGCCATTTGATGTTTTGTGTGGTTGCATATGCGGCCCCCCCCCCCCACTTCCCCCTCGCCGCCGCCCCCCCCTCCCTGTCGCGCACGCAGGCCGGCCGAAAACGAAGCAACCCTCATCAAATCATTTAACTACCCTCTGGCAAGAAATGCCCTTCGGGGCCGCGGTTCGCGGCGGCCCGGGGCCCGCCGGGGCCGCGGTTCCCCCTGGCTGGCTCCACTCGGGCGCCGCGGTCTGCAGCGGCCCCGGGGCCTCCAGAGGCTAACCTTTGCGGCGGCCAGGGGGCCGCCATGCAGGCCATGATTTGCAGCGGCCCCGGGGCCCGCCAGGAGTCAGAGAGAGGTTTGCGCGGCCTGCGGCCCGCCGGGGCCACGGTCTGCGGCGTTCCGGGGCTTGCCGGGGCCACGCTTTAGCCCGGCCCTGGGGCCGGCCGGGGCGACAATTCGCCCTGGCCCCGGGGCCCGCTGCAGCCGCCGTCTGCAGCGGCCCCTGGGCTTGCTGGGGTCACGGTTTGCTCTGGCCCTGGAGCTTGCCAAGGCCGTGGTTTGCAGCGGCCGGGGCCGTTGCTGCGGCCCTGGGGCTCGCCAGGGCTATGCGGTTTGCAGTGTTCCCGTTCCATACACGCGCGCGCGAGCGCACGCGCGCGCACTTGTTGGCGGTCGCTGCCTCGCGCGCAGTGTCGAGACACGCACGCATTTGTTGGTTGTTCTCTTTCTCTTTTTTTGTTTTTTCTCTCTCTCTCTCTCTCTCTCTCTCTCTCTCTATATATATATATATATCTCACGCACGCACACACACATAACTACACACACGCACACACACACACACGCACACACACGCGCACTCACATACAATCACAATCACAATCACAATCACAATCACAATCACAATCACACACACACACACACACACGCGCACGCAAGCGCACTCGTCGTTTCCAATTCCAGTCATTTCCAATTCCGGCCACGAATGAAAAACGAGAGGTGCCGACAGATGGGGTCGGTAGCGTTGTTCCCACGAAATAGACATGAGCGCTCTGTAGGAATCCTTAGGAACCTGTAGACAAACTCGCCGCTCGGGTCAATGGAAAATCCGAACTTACTCTCGGAGGCGATGGGAAATCCGCACTCGCTCGTTCGAGCGAGACGAACTCCATGGACTCGTGAATCGCTCTGCTACGATTGGCTATGACTCGAAGAACCGACACAACAGCGCCACCGCGCCCGCTCGGGGTGGCTGTCGTGCACGCCCAGGGCGCCAAAACTGGGGCACTCTCGCCTCCGGCGGAGCCACCCTCTCTCAGGCTACGACCTCCTCTTTGTGACCTCGGCCTGCGGCGGCGGCTCCTGAGGCTCGTCGCCCCGGCTCCCGTCGTCGCTCGAACGCCGCCCGCCCCCTTCCTCCACGACGCCCGCCGAGGCCGTGCTGCCCTCCGCCGGCGGCTTTCCTCTCTCCGCGGCGTCCGCCGTCTCTCCCTCGGCGTCCTCCGCGTGGTCCTCCTCCTCCTCCTCCTCCTCCTCCTCCTCCTTCTCCTCCTCCTCCTCCTCAGAGAATAGCTCGTGGTACTTCGCCCGCGCGTAGAACCTCACCAGGTACACGAAGGCTGCGAGGAGGAAGCCGGCGGACAGGAAGAGGACCACCGCCTGCATCTCCTGCGTGGAGCTCCACGCGTCGGTCGCGAGGACGGAGGCGCATATCAGGCTGCAGCAGGTGAATAGGAGAGAGAGTCCTTCTGCGTTGTTGAGCTCCTGGTACTTGTACGGTCGGAGTTGCATGTGTGCACCAAGGAACACGGTCATCGTGAAGAGTGCCATGGCTAATTTGGAAGATGGGCTGTATGTGGTTGGAGCCAGAGTCGCGGTGACGGCGAGCACAGTAGTCTTGGTGAGACGGAAAGCCTCCCAATACTGCCGCCCCTCAGTGTAGGACCCTGTGATGAACTTCATTGCGTGGTCGTGCACCGAATTGCGAATCAGGAAGATCCAAAGTAGCGGCCCTGCCACAATGGCACCACAAGCCAGAGGCACCGTGATCTTTGAATACCTCGCCCTACCGCTGCAACTTGCCAGTGACTCGTGTGAAAGCCAGCTCTCAACAGGCGCAAGGGGATCGTCCGGGTGCACCTGTGTGTGGTAGCACGGGAGCGAGCGGGCGCACGCTGCGGTGATGAGTGGCACGAACTGGTTGGTCGCCACGATGTAGCACACCATGAGGCTGCCTGGCGTGTACTTGGCCCGGAACCACTGGATTAACTGCGCCGTCATCGCCAGGAGCATCGCAATGGCTGCCTGAGCAAACACAAGGCCGACAACGCTCAGGGGCCCGATCTGTTGCTCGCCGCCGTTGACTAAGCAGTCGAGGCTGGACGCAACAGCCGTGGCGTCGCCTCCCGAAGCGTGAATGCCCATGCTGAGAACTCCTCTGACACCATCGGGCATCCTGCGGAACACAGGCGTTGCGTCTATGGTCGACGCGACGAGAGCAGAGGCGGAGGTGAACGCTAGCAAGATCTTCAGCGCATCGTTCGAGAAAGCTGCGGATGCCCCCCTGCGCGCGGCGTCAAACGCACTGCGGAGGGAGGCCGCGTAGAGCACGATCGGCACCCCAAGCCACACGAGCCACTGAAGAATCTGGTGGCCACACTGCTCACAGATGAAGGGATCAGCGTTACTGCGTCCAAAACCGTGTGTACAAGAAGCGCATCCGGGTGTTGTCGAATCGTACCCTTCCTGGCACTGTGCCTCTGCACGCAGTGTTTCGCAGTTGTCCGCAGCCTTGCTGCGGGGGTCCACGTTCACCTCGACAACGCTATGAGGACAAGCTATGCTGTTAGGGCAGCGATGAGCTGACGTGCCGCTCTTCTGATATTGTATCGTAGCTCCTTCTGGCACGTTGATCTGCCAGTCGCTAACATATATATCCATCTTGACTTGCTTGCTCAGATGCATCGTGCAGGATTTCTCCACCAAGGCCTTATCTTTTAAGTGTTGGGCCACCTTCATATCTTTTTTCGCCTTCTCAGTGTCCTTGATCGCTTGCTGTCTTTTCTTGTGAGCTGCTTCCTCTTTTTGTTTTGCAAAATGTTCCCTACGCTTCACCTCTTCAAGTTCATACCGCGCCACAATTTCACTGTTGTTTGCAGATGACGCAGACGCCCTCGCATCTTGTTTCAGGTGTTCCGCTTCAGCAACTTGGTCTTCCAACGCCTTCATGCACTCCCTCAGTGTGTCAAAGTTGTCAGTTCCTCTGCCATTTTCAATTTCGTTTAGGAAGTGCTGGCAGTCTGGCGTCAACCCCGACTGCACCTGGGCCTTGGCCTCGAGGGCGGGCCCTCCTCGTTGCCGGCACCCTCCTCGCCGCCGGCCCTCTGCATGCTCCCGCCGAGGGCCCCCGCTGTGGCCTGGAGGTCGGCCCACTCTTCTGCCTCGTCGAGGAGGGGAAGGGGGAGGAGGAGGAGGAGGAGGAGGAGGAGGAGGAGGAGGAGGAGGCGGAGGAGGAGGACGAGGAGGAGAAGGAGGGTGGGGAGGAGGGGGAGGATCGGGAGAGGAGGAGGAGGAGGAGGAGGATAGGAAGGAGGAGGAGGTGGAGGTGTGGGGGTGGGGGAGGGAGAGGAGGAGGGTGGATCTGGAGGAGGCAGGAGGCGGAGGTGGAGGAGCGGGGAGGAGGGAGGGAGGAGGAGAGGTGGAGGGGAGGAGGAGGAGGAGGAGGAAGGGGAGGAGGAGGAGGAGGAGGAGGAGGAGGAGAACTGTGGCCCCCTCGCTAGACCGCTCGGCAACTCCCCTGGCCTCGCGCCCGATCTCGACGAAGCGCTCGCGGTAGGCCGCCCGCCTGTCCGGTTCGGCCTGCTTCTCCTCCAAACCCGCGGTCGTCCCGCCCTGTGCGGCGCCGCCGGACAGCTGGCCCCGCGAGTCCACGGCGAGCACCTCCCTGCGCACCAGGGCGCTCCCGCGCCCTCCCTGCGCGGCGCGCGCGCGCGCGGGCGGGCAGAGGAGCAGCGCCGCGGCCAGCAAGGTGAGCCGCCGAGGTCGCCCGGGGAACGCCATGGGCACGGCGCGCTTCTCTGCGTCGGCGTTGTGACCAGCTCTCGCGCGCGCTCGCGCGGGCGTGCGGGCGCACGACGGCGAGCTTGAGTCACAATTGTCACGGACAAGAGCTCCATCAGTGTGACTGTCGGAACTTCGAAACTTTGTGCTCATGGGCATCAAGAAGACTCAAGCGGCAACCACATCAAATAAGCAAAGCCTTCCATCCGTGTAGCTGTTTGGCACGCGGGATTTTCTCGCAACGTCGGGCAAGTCTCAACCGAGACCAACATCATGAATAACAAAATAGATCTCTCCATCAGTGTAGCCGTGGGAAGTTCAAGCAGTTTAAAATGAATGTGCGCAGGGTAGAGGCGAGAATCATTGTTTGACTCACGTGCGGGGCGCTATGGCGAGAACCCCGCCCTGAAAACAAGCTGCCCTCACCCGTGTTGTTGCTGGAACCTTTGAATTGTGTGGTACTAGTGGGGAGAAGGTGGGGACGGAAGGAAGAAGATGGAGGCATGTAGGACAGGCATGAGGTTTCATTCCCCAATCAGCGCTTGCACTGAAGGGGTCCCCGCGGATGTTGAAGGATTTGGCGAACATTCTCGCCGATTTGGGTTGCTGGCTGGGCTCCCAGGTTCCAGGTTCTGGGTCCCCGGGTTCCCGGATCCGGGCCGATTTCGGAGAACGGCGAGGTTCCCGGGTTCCCGGGTTCCTGCTCGATCTTCCTACCGACCGGTGTCACCATCGATCTCATTATCCACTTCTCTATCGATCTCACCATCGATCTCACAATCGATCTCACTATCGAACACACAAGCGATCTCACTAGAGATCGCATGAACGATCCCGCGATCGATCTCATTGAATCGATTTCACGACCGGTCTCACGATCGACCATACAATCGTCCTCAGTATCGATTTCACTGTCGATCTCATGATCGAATCATTCAGTGATTGGGTTTTCTCAGATCTAATCGTATTCGATTAGACAATGCGCTGCGCGCTGCCACACAGTTGCTTGAAAACGTTGTTCTTCCCGGCCAGCTTGGTGTGGCCAAGATCTCGACATTTCTCGAACGTTTTTGAATACTCCAACCCCGTCATCATAGAGGGTTGGCACTCTTGCACAAACTTCCAGCTCCTTATGTCGTGGTCCGCTCTGAGGCCACCGCATCTGGAGCAGGCTGAACTCAGTTTTTTGCGCCGAACATGGGGTAGAGGAGGAAGGGCTTGATGAGGCGGAGAACGGATGCGTGCCAGAAAGGGAAGAAGAGGAATCATGAATGAGGACGAGGAGAACGGATGCGTGCCAGAAAGGGAAGAAGAGGAATCATGAATGAGGACGAGGATGAGGAAACATATCATATTCGTGGGGATGTGTCGCAGGGTGATTGACGTCGCCTGCTGGCAACGGCGCCTCGCCATAGTTCCAAAGTGTAGGGCGGCCATGTTCAAAATGTGGCTCTGGCCTAAGCGCCGCGCACATTTATATGAAATGTTTGCAAGAGCTTCATTGGTTGTCATGGTCAACGTACCAGAAATCGTGTTTTTGGAACGATTTATGATTGCCAGTGGGCAGCAATGACGTTGATGTGTGAAACAGCGCGTTCTGTGGACGCTTGGGGGGTGGGGGTTGGAACCGGACCCCCTCCTGGATTAAGGGGGTGGGTTTGAGCCCCCCCCTCTCTCCCGTGGCGGAGGGGGGGGGAGGGTTTCCCCTCTCCTCGGGCTGGTGCTGGCGTTGGCGGCGGCTGGCGGCGGCGGCGGTGAGCGTCGATGAAGACGACGACTTCCTATTCTTGGCCGGCGCCGGCGCTTGCGGCGGCTGCCGGCGGCGGCGGGGAGCGTCGAGGACAACGGCGACAACGACGACGACGACGACGCTTCGCCACCGTGCTTTGGTTTTGGGTCAGAGTCCTAATGAATGCCTCTTTGGGTCTCGTCGGAGGGCTCTCGGGGGCCTCTGCAGGCATTTGTGAAGCCTCCTGGGCGCCTCTTGGACGTCTCTTGGGGCCTCTCTGAGGTGGTTGTCGTGGTGGTGGTGTGGTGGTTTGTGGTGGTGGTGGTGGGTTGTGGTGGCGGTGGTGGTGGTAGCAGCGGTGGTGGTGATGGGGGTAGTGGAGTGCTGGTTTGTGGTGCTGATTGTGGTCGTGGTGGTTGTGGTGGGTTCTGGTGGTGGTGGAGGCGTTTTTGGTGGTGGTAGTGGTGGTGTACAGGTTTGTGGTGATGGTGGTGGTTGTGGTGGTGGGTTGTGCTGATTGTGGTGGTGGTGGCGGTGGTGGTGGTTGTAGTGTGGTGGTTTGTGGTGGTGGTGGTGGCGGTGGTGGTGGTTGTAGTGTGGTGGTTTGTGGTGGTGGTGGTGGTGGCGGTGGTGTTGGTGGTGAGTTGTGGAGGTGGTGCTCGTGGTGGTGGTGGCGGTGGTGATCGTGCCTGCGACGCGAGAGAGGCCCGGTTCCCCCCTCCGCGATCGGCCACACGCAAGAAGCGTGGCCCGTGGCAAGAGTGACCGGCTGTTGGTGTGCGGCTTGTCGACCGTTGCGTGCGATGCGACGTGCAGTGACCCCCCCCCCTCGGGCTGGGCGAAAGGGGGGATAGCAAAGGGGGGGGGGGTGAGAATCGGCTCACGTAGCTGATTTTCCTGGCGCCTCGAGGCGCCAGGAGGCACCCATGTATCGCGGAATGGGCCCGGCGGCGGGGCCGAAACCAACTGCACGCAGCAGATTTTGCACCCCCCCCTTTCCGTATCCCCCCTTCCGTTCGGCCCGACCCCCGGCGCCTCCGTCCGCCCCCTCGGCGAAGGCTGCCAACTCACCACCAGAGAGAAGGGGGGGGTCCAGAACACTGCGCAGCGACGCGGGTGGGGGGGGGAGCGGCTGTCTCTTGGACGGGGCGCGTCTTTTCTCCTCCTCCTCCTCCTCCTCCTCCTCCTCCTCCTCCTCCTCCTCCTCCTCCTCCTCCTCCTCCTCCCCCTTCTCCTGCTCCTCCTCCTCCCCCTCCGCCGGGCGAGGGGCCGGTGCGGTGGTGGGTCGAGGCCTCCCCCCTTCCCAAGGGGCCCAGCCCCCGACCTGCCCAGACGTGCGACGAGCTGTGCGTTCGTTTGTCCTTCCATGCCGCGCTCCAGGGGAAGTCCCACCCCCATCCCGGGGGGCCGGCTTGTCGCCCCGCATCCCTGTCTGGTGGCGCCGGAGCCCGATCGCGGGGCCCCAGAGGCCGACACCGAGATCAAATAGAGAGGCCGTTTTTGCTCCTCCTCCTCGACTCCTCCTCCTATCCTCATCCTCCTCCTCCTTCTCCTCCTACTCCTCCTCCCTCCTCCTACTCCTCCTCCCTCCTCCTCCTCCTCCTCCTCTCCCTCCTCGTCCTACTCCTCCTCCTCCTCCTCCTCCTCCTCCTCCTGGCCCCACGCAAGCCAGGACTCACTTGCACGCCAGGACTCACTTGCACGTCTACTTGGCCCAGCGCTGTTTGGTTGGAAAGGCGGCGGGGGGGGGGGGGCGGCCAAGTGTCAATGCAAGTAGCCTGCCTGAGTCGAACAAGTAAAGTAACAGGCCGCAAGCTCCCGACCTGAACACAACAACAACAACAACAACAACCATTTTAAGGCTGTACGCTCTTACTTGCCCGCGAGTCATTCAACACGTATACCCTACACCCTCGATGCCCGCCCTCTTCGTCTCCGATCACACCCCTTTCGGGGGGATTATTTCTCTTTGCTGGGGCCGGCGGGCTTAGACGTACGGGCAAACCGGAACGGGCGGACAATCCTTCGGGGGCGTACATCTCTCTGCCCGCCATTGGAATTGGCGCGGGCCCTGCAAGAGGAGGAGGGGAAGAACGAGGGAGAGTGGGAGGAAGGGGAGGGGGAAGGACGAAGGAAGAGGGAAGATACCACGTTGTGAAGGCGTCCTTGGCGCGCGCGTGGTTCCTGAGCGCCGAAACGCAATTCCAGAATAATTTGTGAGGACGTCGCACGCGAGAGCGCAGTCCTGAGTACATTGTGAGGAAATCTCGGGCGGAAGCGGGGGCCCTGACTAAGTTGCGAGGAAGTCTCAAGCGGGAGCGCCGTTCCTGAGCAAATTGCACGGAAGTCTCAGGCGGGAGCGGGGGTCCTCACTAAATTGCGAGGAAGTCTCAGGCGGGAGCGCCGTTCCTGAGTCAATTGCGCGGAAATGTCAGGCAGG